CACATGCATGTGTGCGAACCAGTCTTCCATATCTATTAATACCGCGTGATTGGAAAGCTGGGCAGACCGTGTGTTCTCTGCGTTAATACTTCTGAGTGAACAGTCTGCTCCGGAAATCGAAACCAGAACCTCCACGGTGCGAGCCCTGCTCACATGACTATTTTATGACTTACATTTGCAGTGGAACTTCACGACACCCAGCATGGTTGCAATGAGAATAGCACCTTTACCTTCATATACCTGTACAGAGATACACGGACGCTAGAAATGACCACTGTACCATTGCCCAGGTTAAGCGAAAACGAATATGTGAACATGCACATCGTTGAAATGTAAAATGCCACGTTTTACGGGATGAGAAGGCGAAATATTAGGTGACAAATCGTCAAAAATCATACATATAACTTTCGTTCACCAACATCTATAAGATGCTTCATTTACAATCTTTTCAATAACTAAAAAATAATATATAAATTTCAAAATAAGTGGGCCATCGGGCATTACACATAACAGATGAGACGTATATTTATATGAAAATGTTTGTATCCGACGTAGAGGGCACTTTTCATTGGCCAATCCTTCCATCATGTTTACATTCTCAGTATGCCTGTTAATTCTCCTGTGATTCGACTTCCACGGCAGCTTCCAATTTTACTGGAAAGAGCTTATAAAAATGGAGTTATGTTGTTCTGTATAGTGTTTAGTTGCACACTATTTACCAAAGTTTTACAAAACTGTGCGCATTTATGAAAATTAAGATATGTTATTTAAAGCCCATGTATCAGAAGAATACTTGTATGAAGTTTGGTGCCAAAATTCTCTAACTTAACCTTCCCAAACACTGGAATAGAGATGATTTTTAATATTTCAAAATAACTAATGTGAGCAATAAACAAAAACCATCCTAGTACTTCTAATTTCAGTGGATTGACCACTGGACTATTGTACTTTTACAGTCATATTGTGATTAATATGCCATTGATGGTAGATGTTATTGATGTGCAATTTTATCATCATTATAATTAAATGTTACTCAATTTATCTTTTTATTAAAAACATAAATTCAAACTTGCAACATCGTTCGATTCACACGGCTTCACTGAAGCCGACCATCCATGGCTGTTTATGAACCATGTGTGAACCTTGGCTGGCAAACATGAGTTCGCACATGATAAGCAAAAGGTTTGAGATGTTTACAATTTCTGAAATTTTTTCTATTCAAGCTATATTACGCTTACTTACAGAAAACATAATTTGCAACTAGGTCTGGTAGATTGTTTGTTTGAAGCAAAGGTCTTCGTTGATTTTCGTACAATGGGTGCAAATATTTTTTGAAATTTTGTACATGTTCCTAACACAGAGAATCGTATAAATTCACCAACAGCCACTTAACATACAACGAATAAACTGTCACAACACGTACATGTAAGCTGTTACTTTATTAAAATCGTTAAAAGGAATCTTTCAACCCTTTTAAAATGATTCGTTTATAAAGTAGAGATATCTTGCAAAGCATTAGAACAATGAGATTTAAATAAAATCACCAAAAACTTTAAAAGAGACGAAAAAAAAAAAACATTTTATTTTCTCACAAAGTTGACACAATCTGCTTTAATATATACAATCTGAAAAGCACAAAGTTTACAATCAACCGCAAATAAGTTGGGACACCAAGATCAAAAAAAGTACAGTATCACAGAAGAAAAATCTTTTCTTCAAAGCAATTGTAATAAAAATGATAAGTAATGAAAAAAAATATTTTCATTTAAAACTAGATTCCAGAATTATTTCTTAAATCCTGGATGAATTGTATATTTAACATTACAAGGTTTTTTTCAGAAGCCAGCATGAAAAATTAAGAAAAACCCCGAAAACAATAATTCAAAATATTAATATCAACTGAATTGGAATGGAATAAAATAAAATGGAATGGAATGCTTGGCTGCGTAAATTATGATGCTATCTTACAGTTTATTCACAAACCCAAAATGAGACAGTACAATGTCAGCTTAAACAAACTTTGAAGGTTACAAAGCGTTAACTTAAAATAAACACATTAAAATATAAAATAATGCCACTTACAAATCTTTATTACATTACTAGTTTTGTACTAGCGCCCTCAATGTCAAGGTTACCCTGAATGAAATTTCTCACCACTAGGTGGCACTGTGTATAGAGATGAAGAGGAAGTAAAGTACCTAATACGAACAAACAAACAAATTAAATGCCCTTACTTCTCAAATTTGAATTAGTCAATTATTAAGAAAACGTTTGATATGTGAAGTCAAAACAACATAATAGTTGATTAAAGTATTGCCACATAAGAAGTATATAACAGACAACAGAATTTTCAGACTCTGTTTCACATGTTGAATGCCCAACCAAATATATTAGAAAATTTCAAATGCAAGCTTGAGCACAGAAAACTGAAATACAATGCCCT